AAGGCCTTGGATAGGAAATATCTATTAAGGATCTAACACAGGTCTGCTAATTCCAATGCTACTTGCAAGGAGAGATGCCCAAGTGCAGCATCCTGGACTGTGCACATGAAATCTGCACACTTTCATTTTTAGACAAAATTCTTGCATAGCTAAGATTTACAAGTAAACCTGCACACATAAGAACATCACAGACTCACAGGTTAAGCTGCAAAACCAGAGAACCACTAAATTCTTCTGCTTAACAGTAGCTCAAATACTGTTCAGATACAAACTCTGCCTTCATTTATCATTCTTCCCCAAATAAACATTTCATGTCAGAGTCATCAAAATATAGTTTTATTTACATTTCCATATTCAAATTCAATACAAATCATTAAATATTTACAACCATTTTAATTGTACTATAGATAAGAAAATGCATTGCTTTTCCTCTCCAGATTCAATAGTAATTTATTGCAGGCTTTAAGACAGTTTTGCTAACATCAGAAACAAGCCATAGATACAGAGATAAAAACAACATAAAGTGCATCTGCAAGATGTCCTTAGTTACCTTTGCTGGGCAAGGCCCTACACTTACTATTGAGGCATCCAGTGTCCCTCCTTGACCCCAGTTCAACTCCCCACAGGCAGACAACTTCTGCAATCATCTGTTTACAGGATGCCAGCTTTCCCTGCAGCTTTAACACACAGGCAAGACAATGCACAGCAACAGTCCAGCATTTTTCAGAGGCTGGATCATTTTCTGAACAAAACACAGCAGATCCTTTGGGAAGAATCTGTCTTTTCATCCTTAGTTCAGTCTTCCTGAAATCAACCCAGACTCACAAAAGCCAGGACTCTGGCATATTGCTGGTGCTAGAGATGGTTGTAACTCCAAAAAGCATGGAGGATCTTTCACTGTCTAATATTGACAGTTTTGAAAAGTTCCTGCAATTGTTCCCTTTACAGTATTGTGCAAGTCAGATTTGGCCTGTCAGCTTGAAGCTCTCTTTTTTCCCTTTAGGAATGCATGGTTGGCAGGTTGGAGTTGAGAGGTAGAGAATAAATCTGTTTACCAGACAACCAAAGACACTGTGGGCAAAATCCAGTTTGACAGGCATTAGTTTGTACTTTCTCCTATCAAATTAGTGCATGGAAACATTAAATACAGTGTTGCTTTAAACTAAACTGTGTCTGGTAAATAAGTACTAGACCAGATCAAAATAAATTTTTTTACAATGAAAATCCACTTGAACTAAAACAACAAACAACCAAAAAAAAAAAAAATGCAAGTCAAAACAATTCCCAGTAGACAGCTACCACAAAAACTTGTCCTTATTTAAATGACTCAAACACTGAAGAGAAGCTTTGCAGAAGATGGAATGTTTTAGTGTTCAAATCTGATGTTTTCCTTTATATTTAACATAGCTTTATGTAAAGAATGCTAAAACTAAATTCCACGTGGGAGATGCAGTTTTAAGAATGGGAAACCATACAATTATGATTTGAACAAGTCTATTTGATCTCAGCATTGCCAAGGCAATATTTTTCTGCTACAGTCTTGCAGTGTTTGGTAGACATGAGATGGCAGAAGGCAGCTCCTTGCACAAGGCTTACACCATGTTGCTGGACGTGTTCTTAGGACTTGACTTCAACTTGTGTTTCATCTGCCTCAAAACTTGGGTTGTCAACATGTGGAAGGATGTTCACAGCAGAGGGCTGGGATTCATTGTTCACAAGATGCATGTTGTCATCTGTTCGAAGAAAACCAAGAAAAGGCAAGTTAAGAAGTGCCACAGGCAAGATTCACTACCTCAAAGCAAACCATGCTGGTGTTATTTCCACAAGCCTGCTGCAGTGGACTTTTCCCAGCCCTTTTCCTTCAGAGTGGGAAATCCAAGGCCATGCTCCAACTGCCACTCTCCTGCTGTCCCTCATTAGTTTGAGTGCCCATTCTTGACATTACCTGTCATTTCTAGAGGTATCTGCTTGGCTCTTGAGTTCCCTTCTCACTACTGCTGAGCAAGCCCAGGCTGTGTGCTCAGGTGACAGAAGACCACTTGAGGCTATGAAATCCAATTACAAGGAGATTTGTAGTTCTCTTATTACTTTAGGGCTGCTGAAGACAGGTGTCTAGAGACTAGGTTCAGGATCAATTGTGGGACACAGGCTGATTCCAAGAGGAAAGCCACCTCCCTACAGACTAACCTTGCTAGGCCAATGATTGTGTCCTCACCTCTCAAACTGACAATACACAAGGGCCTCAGCCACTGCAACTAATCCAGCATCACTTGGGTTGCTTATTGGGATGCAATTTCAACTTTTGATATTTAGTTTATAGGAAGTGCCCTCTGCTCTACTCAGGTGCCTAAACTGGGCACTCCTGTACACACACCACTCACTGGAGCAGCATGTCCCAAAAGAGGCAGGCAGCAAATCCCACACTTGCCTATCAGCCAGGCTTCCCACAGGAAATCTAAGCAGACACAGCCAGAGCACCCCTTTCACCTCCGAAAGCTTCCTCACTTACTCTTCTTCCCAATGCTATTCCATAATCCAGGGGATTGTTACTTTCATTTGTTTACCTGGGACCTTTCCACTTTTAAAGTCAACAGCAACACTGAGCGTGTGTTGACAAAATTGAACACTAAAAAGACATTTTCCATCAGTTTGCTCTTGTTCAAAAAGAGAAGGTATTTCGAAAAACTGATGGTCTTCTCCATTAAAATTCTCTAAAAGTGTTCAAGGATGACTCAGCCTTGGCAAAATCTGAAATTCAATTGATGTGTTTGTCACCTCTATTTTGCATCATGTAAGCTACATCAGGACTGACTCCCCAGAAGTTTTCTGTAAATAATCAGCTCCTTAAAGCAGCCAGATCTGGCAGCAAAGCAACACTGACTCATCCAAATGAAGTCTCCAAAGAGACAATGAGATGAGAGACACATTCAGAAAAATTTCTTTGGCCTTTAAGTAGTAAAAGGCCTCTGATTTTCAATGACTCTCTTAATCGGATTCAGTTTTTAATTCACATGTAGATTGTGTTTCATTTGAAAACAAAGTGTAAGAGCCAAATGCTAAAACAAAAGGGAAGTTTAAGATTACCCTGAAAGATGAGGTACTCAAGCACTGAGATGTTACTAAGGCAACCTCCCCCCTAATTCATAGCATGAGCAACAAAGTGCAATGAAATCTAGCGAGAAAGATGGAACTGTAGACACACTTTCTGATGGTGTATGTTCCTCTAGGGCAGATTCATCTGCTCCTTGTACAGAAGCATATCCAGATGATGCTGTTTCACTACGATTATCTTCTTCATGAACTGTAGGAACATTTGATACCCCACTGGATCTGGATACTGTGACTTGCACAGACTCAGCCCCTTCTTCTGCATCCACCTTTGTGAAAAGAAAAAGGAGAAAACTGTTAAACTGTTAAGTTACAGCTTTGTAGAAAGCTGCATCTTCCCAGGAGACCAATGCCTGCAAGGACTAGTGAAGGAGTCTAGTGAACTTTCATCCAGACAAAAGTAAGTTTAAAACTGAGAAAAGCTCTGCTGTTTACCTCAGCATCATAGGTGAAAACCAGTTACTACCTAATAAAGCAGGAAGTTCAGATGCAGCCTCTGCATTCTTTAGCCAGCTCTTCCCTTGTACTGCCCAATACCAGGAAAACAGATTCTTCCTTCAACTCAGCATAGATCTCCCTCCCCCAGGCAGACCTTAGCACACATTTAGCTGGTCCAGGCAGTGTCAGGCTTTGGCAACACAGTCTTTCCCTGGCACTTGCAACAACAAGCAGCTGCAGAGCACATCACAAATTAGCAGGTGCAAGCTGGAGCATAAGTGGTTCCACATAAACACGAGGAAAACCTTTTTCACTGAGGGTGACGAAACACTGGAACAGGCTGCCTGGAGAGGTTCTGGAGTCTCCTTCTCTGGACACATTCAAAACCCAGCTGGACACATTCCTGTGTGACCTACTCCAGGGATCCTGCTCTGGACTGGATGATCTTTCCAGATCCCTTCCAACCCCTAAAGTTCTGTGATTCTGTGAAATTCCCTATGTATCCTAGGAAGTCATGTGGCTCCAGGAAAGTCATGCATGCCAACATGTTCATTTTTCAAGGACTCCAGATACTTAGTAAATGAATATCAGCTGGTTTCAGGGACAGTATGAGCTGTCAAAAGCTGCCTGAAGCTTTGAGAAACACCCTGAGCTACACCAGCAAAAGCTAAGAGCAATTCTTCAGTCATGCATTACAGTCACTTTTGGTTAACATTCTGCCCAAGGCTTCAGATGATACCAACACAGACCAGGTGAGCTGCAGGCTGCACTGCAGGGGACAGGACAGTTAGTCCTGTAGCATCTCACAGCTGACACAGCAACACCTGTGCTTGTCACCTGTGCTCAAGAGGCAGCAGGACATAGCTCACTATGTGTTTATTACACTAGCAGAATGCTGATAATGGCATCTGCCACTAAGAAAGTCTACAGGCTTACCTCAACACCCAGAACTTTGAGTATGTCACATTTGCATATCGGGCATGTTCTGTGTTCCAGAAGCCAGGGGTCAATACAGTTCTTGTGGAAGAGATGGCTGGTGGAAGAAAGTAACCAACAAGTTAGGTTTCACACCAGGAAAACTGTTTGTGGCAGCTGTGAAGGCCCATTTAGAAACATAAAAAATTTATTCATTCTAGAATGGATTACCATATTGTACCTCAAGTGTATGACCTCAGGTTTCAGCTGAAAGTTATGAAGAGTTGATCTCTCAAGCATGTCTGTGCATATTAGTATCCCTATAAAACTTGCTAGAATTCAGCATTATCATCTTTGCTACATCAGTCTTAAACTTTTTTTTTAATTCTGTATACAATACATTCCCAGCTAATTCAGCTAATACCAACATTGACATTTCAGCCTTAGCTTTAAGGTTAAGGTCTGTTCTGCATACACAAATAACTAAATAGCACTTGTTTCTGTTAAAGCTACATAGAAAAATCATCTCACAGAATTATGTCCCCAAGATAAGCTTTACTCCCACACATTCACTTTGTCTATGCAGTCACTATGTATGCCAAGTGGGTACTTGGCCAGCTGTGTACTCAAGAAAGTAAATACAGTTCAGCCATTACAGATGCCAACGTGTACTTCTGTGAAGACAGTTCCACAAAGGGTCTAAATTAGGCCACAAATTTAGGAAGACTGCTTGAAATCCTGTAATCTGCCTGTTCCCTCAGGCAGAATGGAAATAGCAAGGCAGACAAACACTGCTCAATATTGATGAGAACTCTATTATGAAACAAGTGCAATGATCACCACATCCAGTGCTCAGCATCCTATGCCCTAGTGTGATTCTCCAGTTCAACTCATATAACCAGCACCTCCTTCTAGCTGCAGCAACATGATGTCTAGAGCACAGCCTGAAGCTTCCTTGATGTGTGACTATTTTAAGTACTTGGACTTCACACTGGTTGTGTGTTCCTCTGCTACAATAAATGCCTTCAGTTTGACTATCTGGATAAGAATGCCTCCTGCAAATATTTACGCCCCAGATACTTAGATACTACTGATGTGACTCAGAGGAGCATTTACTGGATTGCTTTCTTTCATGGATATGGTTAAATGCTTTCAACAAATAAGGTCTCAGTGTTAAGGGCAACCACCATTATCAAGTACATTCTTACAGTAAATATCAGTTTCTAACTCATGTAAGAGAGAACTTAATATGGTTGATAGTGGCAGAGATCACCACTATCAAGTATATGTGGTCACCTTAAGCTGATGCCTCTTGGAGCAACATCAGGGCCAAAGAGGAATGAAACATCACAAATGTCTGTAAAAGCAGTCTCAGAGCAAAACATAATTGTGTACAAAGAAAAAGTTCAAAAGAACTTAATGCAGTAAATCATGTTTTGTTTGCAAGTTCATATCAAGATTAGCAAGTTTTATAGGGAAATAATGAGAAGTCAGGTCTCCTATCAGCCAGAAGTATCTGGAGCCTGTCTAAATGCTTCTGTACTCATGGGACTTACTTCATTAATAAGTAGGACTAACCACTAGCATAAATCTGACAAGACAACTGAATAATCATTAACACACACACCCTAAATCTTATTCAGCTTTGTTTTTTTCTCAACTATTAAGCATTAGATCAAGGGAGTTTGTTTATAACACCTTAACAGACCAAATTGATATCAAAACAGCTTGCAAGTCCTACTCCTTGGGAGCAGGGAAAGCTTTTGCAGAAATGCAACCTGGTGCATAGGTAACCCTGGCTCAGATTTGATAGTGTTTCACAAATGACACTGCTCAGCACACAATAGGAGCTACAGATTTTTCCATTGTTCAGAACTTGATTTTTCCTACATCAGAATTTTTCCAAGTGCTTTTTTGTAACCCTCCCCAAAATTTTTTCAGGTCACATTGCAGCCTTCTGATTTGACAAGCTTTGACAAAGCAGTTTCATTCAGCAGGCACAGGGGGAAGACCCAAATAACAAGTTTCTATAAGCCCTGAGGAGGCTTCATTGCTCATCTTAGAAGCTATCAAATTAAAATCTTAGTGCAGCAATGCTAGGCTTCTACAGAAGCACAGCAATGAGATACAACAGTAAAGAATTCTAGAAAAATAAACTGCTGTAGCTCTATTTTGCTCTCTATTTCAGATGATGCACACAAGAATAGAAACACTTTATTCTAAACTACTGAAGTTAAAGTCGTTTAATAAGTTTGATGGCAGCGTGACCCCCTCAGTAACCAGTAAAGCAAGTGACAAGAAATGGGCATAGAGGGGCCAGTTGTCTGCAGTTTGCAGGTAACATTCTTATATACCAGTAAAAGAAGTAATGTTTTAAAAGCTCTGGCATCCCCTGGAGAGGCACTGTGATCTGCCAAGTCATACTTGTCAATCCACTCCCAGGGGAGGTTATGAACAAGGGCCACCAGGGCACACAAGTGTGTATTTACACAGTTCCTGTTGTTCAAAATGCTGTTTGACAGAGATTCAAGAATTCTTGCTGTGCAACAGCTTGATTAAAGTTTGATCAGCTTTGAGAACATAGCAGAAGGAGTAACCAGTAAGAGGTATGCTTGCAGATTTTTGGTGAAGGGGCAGCTTGGATGACAACTTACTTGCAGGTGAGAATGCGCACTACTTCGTTGGGCTTGTACGGCTCGATGCACACAACACAGCAGTCACCATCAGGACCAGTTTCCTAAAGCAGGGAAATTAATTTACAGCTTTAACAGACTATGAAAGCTTCCTTTGAACCAGTCAGATTTATTGCAGAGAAAGGGGTTTAGCTAAAAGCAATCCAAGACAGCTGCCATATATAAACACATGAGGGGGATTACTCATAGTCAGGCTGACACTTTAACAGAAGCATTGAAAGTTTAATCCCATTGGTTTACAAGTCCAACTACAAACCATCATGGGATTATTTGATGCACGACTGTAGAGGTTTAAGAACTTCTACCTCCACTTTTGGTTACAAAAAAGTTACTCAGGGAAGCTGATTAGATATACTATTTTACTTATAAGCATCCAAGCCAGCAAATTATGACCTCTCACCTCAGGAAGACCACAAGCAAGCAGCTGAAAAATAATCTGATTTAAGAGTGTGGTAATTGGAAAGTCTTGCACCCTAGAAAAGGGCCTGGTCTGAATAAGGAACCGTCTCTGCAAGAGACAGTGATGGGCTCAGAGAGACTTCTGCATCCTACTGCAGTACTAAGACCTGCTCTGTGGGTTCTGTGGAGAGGGGGTAGAAGATTGTAGGATCAATCCTACCTTGTCCCCTTGCTTCAGGGTGCGCAGCTCTAACTGTTCGATGGCCTTCTTAGCCCTGGCCTTCAGCTGTCGCTGTAACAGAAAACACTGCTGGTTAATCACAGTCATTTTTCTCTTAGGTGGTGTTTACTAATGCTAACCAAGATGCCTACTGCAAGCAGGCACCAGTTTTATAACCCAGATGTTATCAAAACATGCCAAGTAAGCGTGATCATGCTATTTAGAGACAACATGAAACCGTTTCAGGACATACTGACGTGGTTATTGACTCTAGATGACACACCAAGAAGATATTTGCATATGATTTGGTTTTGCCTAACCTTTTCACAAAGCACAGGCATTTCATGGGTTTCTAATTTGAAAAGACATAAGATAATACCTTGATCAGATTTAGACCAAGACAAAACAAACAGAAGCCTTCAAACTGACTTAGTACAAAAGACTGACCATTGAGTCTGACAATATTTTTAACAGCTCACTTTATGACAACTTCCTGCCACAAACTCATACCCTGATGAGAGGCAAAATCCTTTACAAATCAGCTCAACTACCACCAAGATACCCTGAACTAGTCCTCTGCCACAACTGCATTACAGAGCATACAAACAGCTCAGGAGCCTCCTGGCACCAACCGCTCCTGTCAAATGGAAGAATGCAACTTTATCTCCAGAGTGGTTCAAAGTAGCATGCACAGGAATATAGAAAAGGCCTTATAGCTATTTCTACACACACACACACCCACACACACCCATGACACACGGTGTGAAAGAAATCAAATTGCTAGACCGAGGTGGATTACAGGATAGCTTTGATGGAAGCAGAGGAAGAGGCATTCCCCTTCAGGCAATCATTTCCTTGCTGCTATCAGGACAGCCGGGCAGAGATGAGGAGCCAGCAGAAGACCAGCTTGCCTGGCAACTGTTGCTCTCCAGCTGTCACTGCAAAGCATTCAATTAGCACAGGAGCTAACATCTGTTTGAAGGTCACAGGTTGGTGCTGTTCCACCAACATGAAGAGTAGGACTGTCCCCTCCCTCCCTGGTGCACATGCTGCCTCAGGACACGGAGGCGTGTCGGGCAGCTCTGGCAGTGCCATCCCAACATGGCACTTACCTTAGGAGCAGACCAGACTCAAGCTTTGCAGCTAACCAAAAATCCTCTTCCCAATCAGCAGCTGAGTGCAGGAACCCCACTAATGCTGTTAGCTTTCCAGCATTACTTCCCCTTATTCATTTCAGTTACAAATATTTTTCCTGGTATGAAGCTGCAGTGCTGGTGGCACAAGGATAGGAAGGACAAGTGGGAGGAGGGTTGCTGCTGACACCTGACCAGCTCAGGGAGAATTGGTACTTCAACTCTGTAAGATTCCCTGTGCTGAAGCAGTTAATGGCAAAAAGTTACTGTCTAGGACCTGCTGGGATTCTGTCAAAACAGTTTTGGTGCAAAATTACCTGTTTGCATGTATGTTGGTGTTGTTTTGGGGTCCTAAGATTCAGAATCACAGTGCATGCTTTTAGGAGTTTAATAGTTGATAGCTATTAACAACTAGCAAGTAAGAGACAAAATCCAAAGGTGAACAATTCAAACAAGTTTTCAGGTATACTTTTTAGGAACAAGAACTAGTTAAGTTTTCTTTGAAGCTTGTGAAAGTCTTCTGCTGAAGACATAAATGTGTGTTTCTGTGTGTCACTTAAGGTTAACTTTAGAATGATGCTCCCCTTGTCAATGTTTCAGATTGATGCCACAGAAAAGCAGCCACATATTCATCTTGGTGAGCACTGAGGCCCAGGAAAGTTTCAGCAGAAAACGTGGTAACATCAACAGAGCAGGAA